CTTTAAATAATTTTAATATATCTGCTTGCTTTATACCTAAACCAGTATCTTTTACATTAATTTTGATTAGATTATCTTATATTAAAGAAACAAAAATAGAGACGGATCCTTTTTATGTAAACTTGAGTGCATTTCCTATTAGATTAATTATAACTTATCGAAATCTATAAGAGTCAGAATACAAGAATTCAGGCACATTTTCATCTATTTAATATTATAATTATAAATTTTATCCTTATGCCTATATTCCCATTAATTAAATTGTTTCTTTTAATACGTCCTATACACTAAATTTTGTTATTGATAATTTAAAACACCCAGATTTGACTTAAGCCATATCTAAAAGGTCCTATATTAGATTATTTAGTAGCTTTGCACTAGCTAATGCTGGAAACAAAAACAATTCATTAACTTCCTTTTTTATTACCATGTCTGATCCTATTTATATCATATTTATTATGCAATTTAAAGGAGTTCTTATTTCATGAGCTACTTATGAAAGCATAGAGGTTTTATTTTCATTTATTTACTTTTATATTAAGTTTTTAATATTTTATATACTTAAATGCTTTTTTTTACTCTTAAAACACTTATTTCATTAAAATGAGTTGTATCTTTTACTACAAGAAGGATGGTTGCTTCATAGTTTATTACACAGGGTATAAATGTGATTTCGAAATATTTGGTTTTTTTATTTATTTCGTATTTACAGATCATGGTTATATGGACTGCTATCATTTCATAATTATTAAACGATTTGAAATTTCTTAATTGATTCTATTTTTTTTTATTTTTTTTATATATTTTTTTTTTAAATATTTATTTTTTCTTCTTTTTTTTACATATATATATACACCTCTATATTCTCTATTTCTTTTTATACGGTTTATTTGGTTGATTTGTTCTTTTTTTTATTTATTTTTATAAATTATATAAAATATATATATAAATATATATATATATATTACGTTTTAAACTTGAAATTTACTAGCTTTTAAAATATTTAAACCCTATTATTCATAAAACATATTAGATTTCTAACTTTAGTAAGATTAACTTGTCTAAAATGAAAATTTCTATATATCAGAATAATAATGATTCTTAGTTTGTATAAATGTATCAGATTAAGCTTAATATTAACAAAAATCATTTTAAGTAAAAATATTTTTTTTAGACTTAGCTTTTTGAGGCTTTTCATATTCAGTAATAAAAGTAACCCTTCTAGTTAAATTATTAAAAAAAGTATCAGAATCACTATTTTCTTGTAAATTTTAAACTATAATACTATTACGTTCATTATGACTATTAGTATTTACTAAACTAGGATTATTTATTGTATTTGTTATAGGATAACTATTTGTAATTAAATTTGGAATAATATTATTATTTTATGAAGCAAACATTGTATTTTTTTCAGAAATTACATCTGAATTACATATATCCTTTTTTTAATTAATTAAATTATTTTATTTTTAAATAAATTATAATAAATTTTATACATTAAAGTTTGTTTTAATTTAAAATTATGTATTATTTTATTTTTATTATGATTATTCATCCCATTTAATATTTTTTAATTTCTTTAAAATATCAATACATTAATCCTTATCATCACATTCAAGTAAAGATAATAAAGTTTAATTTATTTATGATTTCTATAAAAAAAATATATATAATAAAAAAATAAATATCATATATAATAATATAAATATATATATAATATAAATTTATATATATATATATTGATTTATATACAAATATATATAATTATTATATAAATATTTTTTATATATACTTTTTTATGTTCATTTTATTTTATAATAGCTATACCTTAAGGAATTATGTTAAAAAACATATTATAAAAATTTACTAAATTTTTATTTTATTGTTATTATTTTAATAAATATTTATTCTAATATCGGCTTAATTCTTTTTTTTTTTTGGATTCAAAAAATGTTGATTTTCTTTCATGTTTTTATCCTATTCCTCTAATTTATTTTTAAATATTTATTTTCTCACTTTTTGATAAATTATTACTATCAAAATTTATATTATCAATATTATTTTAATGTTAAATTGGCATATTAAAAAAACTTAAATTAATTAAATTATTATTTACATTTTCATTTTTATTATTAAATATAAAATTATTATTATATATATTATTATTTTTACTATTATTATTATCATTATTATTATTATTTTTATTGTTATTATTACTATTATCATTATTATTATTAATATAATTATTATTATTGTTATCATTATCTTTTTTTTTATTTCGTTAATTTTGTTTTTCAATTCCTAATTTTCAAATTATAGTTATGGTTGTATTTCTATATTTTTCAATATAAGTTTTAATTTACTTATCTTTTGTATGAAAATCACATATATTATAAAAAAGGAAATAAATATAAATTAAAAAATAAAAAATATTTAGAAGTTAAAATAGTAGTTGAAAATTCTACAAAAAAAGTAAAAAATAATAAAAATCTAACTTATTAAAGTAAATATTTTATGCTATATTGATTTAAATATAAATATCATTATTAATCCTAATTCTAATATATATATAATTATCTTCTCTTTATATTTTTAGAATATTATTAATTCTTCTAAAGTAAGATATGTTAATATTATATTATAAACGAAAAGGAAAAATTATTTTCTGTTTTTTTTTAAATTCATGTAATGCTTATTTTTAAATATTATTATAGAAAATACTAATATAACGAGCCTTATATAGCAAATTGAAAAACATTTATTTTTTAACAATTTAATTTTATATTACTAAAGTTTATTATTATTATGTCTATTAATTATATTTATAATATTAAAACTATAGCCCAAAATAAATTAATTCTTTTTTTCTATATTAAATATTGCATAATTTTTAAAAGCATGTGCATATTTATTTTGATTTTGTTTTCATTATTATTTTGGAATTTATTTTTGAATTAATATGTATAAATTTTTAATAAATTTTTATAATAATTTATATTATTTATAATTATATTTAATTTATTTATTTTTTTATTTAAATTTTATGTCTTATGTCTTATTATTATTATTTTATTCATTCTTTTTTTTTGTTTTCATTATAAAATATTTTTATATAAACAATTTTACATATTTTTAGATTATTTTATATAATTCTAATATTTTGCTATTTTTTATTTTATTTTTTTTAAAAAAAAACATAAAAATAATTTATTTTATAAATTCATTTTTTTTTATATTTAATTAAATTTATTTAACTCTGTTTAAATAAAATTATTTTTATTTTTTTTTAAATAAATTATTTATATATCAAGATAATAATTTTTTAATAAAATTAAATTATTTTTTTAATTTAATGTTATTAATCATTTAAGATAAAATATATTTTAAAAAATATTAAAATATATATAAATTATTAACATAAACAAATTTGATTATTTAATATATAAAAATGAAAGACTAAAAAACTAAAATTATAAATATATAATATATAATATATATTTTTTTTTTTAAATTAATAATAATTTTTTTCTTAGAAAATATAATTTCATAAATAATATTTTTTTTTTTCTTATATAAACTTTAAATATTTTCCTTTTTCAAAATTATATAATGGATGAATTGAAGATCTTCCATGAACACAAAAAAAAGGAAAATCTGTTTTTTTAAGATTCTCAATTAGAATTTACATTTATTTGCATTTTAGTTATTCATTGAATTTTATTGCACCTTTACAGGCTTTATACATTAGAATACTATCAACCTAAGTAGGTATTTTTAAGTTAAAATTAAAGTCTTAATGTATAATTTCCTAAATAAAAGCTTAATAGTCATTTATTTATACATTAAATATTAAAAAAAGAGGATTTAAAGTAACTCTAAAAGAATTAAAAGCAACTTTATTAATTTTTTAGATTTTTAAACTGAATATTTATGATATTTTTTATATTTTTAAAAATAGTTATTTTAACTATAAATCTGAAAGTATAATTTCTATATTTAGATTTGGCTCGAAAGATAGAATAGAAAAAAATAAAGAATTTTCATTTTTTTCAGAAAGATTAATAGAATCAAAATGAATTGAAGATTTTTAAAAATTATTTATTTTTTGGAAATATAAAAATTAGAAAAATTCATAACGTATTCTTTCATGTATTGCATGTTAATCAAAACATATTAATAAATTCGTTTTTTTACATAGACATATTATTAATTTATTAAAGGCATTACATATTATTTAAAGGTCATTTAGTATATTTTTATCTAATGTATATCTTTCACTAATTTTTATATTTTGTTAATTATTATTTAGACTTTATAAATCTAATTAGTCATTTTTTATTTAAAATTCATCTTTTAGTTATTGTGAAAATTACGTTTATTATGTATTTAGTGTTTTATTTGAAGCTTTATGATATTTTAGTGTTTAAAAACATTATTTACTTTATTTTTGAATATGATTTTTCATTTTTATATTTTTTAAACTAAAATTTATTCTAAAAAAAATATATATATAATATTATATTTATAGATTTATAATAAATTTTATAGATTTTTAATGTTTATATATTATTTTATAAATTTTTATTTTTTTTTATTTCATTTTTTATTTTTTTTCAAGTTCAAACAAATGCAAATTCAATATTGAAAATAGGAATTTATGATAATTTTTATTCTTCAAAAATAGTTTTTAGGAAATTTTTTTCAATTTCCATATTTAATTATTTGAATAATTCCTAAAACTATTAAAATGTAATAAGTTCATGTTTTTAACCCAAAACATCTTTTATAATTTAAAACATAAATACATTCAAATACTCACTACCTCTATCATCGAAACATAATATTTTCATTTCTTCTGATTAAAAGATATTAAATCCTGCAGGAAAATCTTCATATAAATTAACCCCTGTAATAAAATTTAATTATTTAAATATTAATATATATATATATATATATATATATATATATATATGTATATATATATATTTATATTTTACTTCTTGAATTTTTCAAATAATTATCTAAATCTTTTTAATATCCTTCTCCATTATAAATATCAACAAATTCATCATATTTTAATTTCTCTTCTTCTTCTAATTTTTTCTCTTAATTTTCAAATTTATTTTCTACATTATTTATTTCTATATCTTATTATATTTTTTCCTAAGATATACTTTTTTATTATTACAATTATAATTATTATAATTATTAAGATTATTATAATAATTATTATTATTATTATTATTATTATTATTATTATTATTATTATTATTATTAATATTATAATGATTATTATAAATTTTAAGTTGATTCATTCATTTATACTTTTTTTTCTTTTTCTTCTTTTTCTTTTACTGCCTGCATTTCTTCTTCCGTTAAAAAAGGTATTCTTATATTTAAAATTATGTTTATTTATTCTTATATATACATATCTAAATTATCAAATACAAAAAACATTTTTTATTTATAATTTTTTTCTTCTCCATTTTCTACTAAATCAGGTTTTATGCTAATTGATAAGTTTGTGAATAATACTTTGTATATTTTTTTTAATTCCTATATTTCTGTTTCTGAATTTAATAAATTATATCGAATAAAATCAATAGTTGTATTTTAAAAAAAATAGAGTTATTCATTTTAAAGTAGATCATTGACAAAATTTGCACGTTCTTCATTCAAATTTTCAGTTTTACTTTCTAGCTCTTTTACTTTATCTTCATAAAATTATTTCTCATTTTAATTCAATCTTATTGTTAATCCATTTTTTAAATTAGTAAGAAAACTATTTACTATATCATGAATCTTTTATTTGTTTTTTATTTTGTTTTTTTTGTTTTTGTTTTTTTATTACATTATTATCATTTAATTTATCTTATAAATTTCTATTATAAGATTCGATTGAAGTCCATATTTAACCTATTAATCCACCAAATACAGGTACTAATTTTTTTATTATTTAATAAATTAATATTTTTAAATATTTTGTTTATAATGTTATTACTTATTGGAGTCTTTTTGTTGTCTCCTGTAATATCTGTGAAATCTCCGTTTTAGATTTATTCAATTTTTTCAGATTTATTTATTATATTTTCATATAGTTTATCTATTTAATTTAAAATATTTTTTAAAAAAAAGTATTACTTAAAATTTATTATCTAATTTAATTTAAAGCCATTTTTCTTTTCCATTCATTTTTTTTTTATTTTCTAATTTCTTTTTTCTATATATATATAATAATATATATATATATATAATAATAAATATATATATATATATATATATATTTATATATATTATTTTAAATATTTTTAAAAATAGTACTATTCTTTATTTTTCTCTTTCATCAAAAATATCTTATTTTTTTTATCTTTATTTTTATAAATTTTATTAATGCAAGCTTTATACATTGTTTTATATTTTGTTCAAAAGCATATCTATATTTTTTTATTACTATTCATTATTATGAATTAAATTAACAGCATTTTCAATTATTAATGGATAGTAATTTGCTCTTATTTTACTGACTGTTTAATCACTTAAATACCCTAAGTTTTAAAGATCTTTTAGAGAATTAGATTTTACATCATTTAAAGCTCTTTTTATTAATTATCTACTAATTAATTTTTTATGAATATATATTTATTAATCTCTATTTAATTTATGTTGACAGTTTCTTCTTTCCTTTGTGTTTTCTTAATAAATTATTTTTTTTTAATTTTTTTTACTTTTTCTTCTTATCTTCTTATATGTGCTGCTTCCATTCTTTAAGTAACCATTAATTCTGCGTTTCTTTTTATTTCATATTAAGCTTTATGTTTCAAAAATTCAACTTGCTCATATTCTTCTATTAACTCCATTCGAGCTTAATCCATTGTTTTTCCTATCAAAACTTATAATATAGGCTCCACCTCTAACATGTAATCAAATAATTCATTATCTATTATTTATGTAGATACTTCTACTCCTTTTTCTTTTGGTTTAAATTCTGGAGATGGCTTTTATTTTATTTTGTTTTTTTATTTTTTGTTTTTATTTTTTTTACTGGCTTGTCTATATAATAATCTGGTTCTAATTCTTTTTCATCAACTAAAGGAATATCATTTATTTCTTCATAATTATTATTTTATATTGTTATTTATTATATAAGATCTTCTTCATTTGCATCTGCCTTTTTTTTTTGTTTAAAAAAAAAAAAAAAGTTTTTTTTATTATTTTGTTTTAAATTGGTTTTTTTTTTATTAGAAAACCTTGCTTCTTTCTTTAGATCTATTTTTTTTTTTTTAATTATATAAAATTAATATTATTATATATATTATTTTCTTAATTTGTTATAATTTATGTACATTTTTTTTTTTTTTTTTAATTTAAAAAAATACATATTAATATTAAAATATGTAAAATAAAGATAATATAAATAAATAGATATAATATGTTTACCTTGATTCACTATTTGAGTCATTATATTTTTTTCTATAACCAACTGGTTATGGTTCTGCTGAAAAATTATAATTTTAAGGTTATTATAATTATATTGAAGCCATTTATTATAAAAAAAATATTTTTAATATTGTAAAATTAGTTATATTTTATATTTGAAAAAAATAAAATAAAAAAATCCCAAAAAATAAATAATTTAAATATAAGAAAATACAATATATATAAAAAAAATTAATAATTTTTTTTTTTAAATTAAATGGAAAAAAAAAAAAAAAAAACTTAATCTCTATTTTTTAAAATTAATTAAAATTTTATAACAAAATAAATGTTTTTTTTTTTAAAATAATAAATTATACATACAATTAAATTTATAGTTAATAATATTTTTAAGAATAATAAAAAAACAGAAATATTTTTTATTTAAATAGATAATAAATAAATAAATTTTATTTATCTTATTTTTTTTATTTTATTTTCTTATTATTAATTAAATATTTATCTTAGCAATTTGATTTAAAGTACAGGAAATAATAATGTTTTCATATTAAAAAAAATAATTAGGAATTGCTTCTTTTTAAAAATTTATTAATAAATCATAAAACTAAAGTCCAAGAAATAAAAATACTCACTTTTATTGTAAAAACAGTATAAGCAAAATATAATAGACTTACAATAAACAAAAAAATTAATACTTTATACCTTTTTAAAATGAAAGAGATAACACTGGAAAATTAATAACCAAAAAATGCTAATCATTAAATATTTCTATGATAAAAAGGAGAACATAAAAAAATATAATTATAGATTAAATAAATAGGTTTAATTAGACAAAATGTATTAGTTAATTGCAAGATTCAATTAAGAATTTTTTTAAAAAAACAATTCAAGCTTATATATTTAATAATCTCATAAAAATAATTAAAGCAATAAAAAAGCGAACTTAAAAATAAATTTTATTTTAAATTAAGATGCCATAGACCATTATAAAAATGTAACTTTGAATAAAATTATATAAAGGATAAATTAAAAAAAATAAGGAAAAAAGATATCGAATAAGTTAATATGTCGTCAAAAGCTAGTTAAAATTTAAAATTATAAATAGAAGAAATTTAAGACAAAATAATTTTTTTAGACAAAAAAAAATCTCGTTAAAATAATGGTCAAAATACCATTTTATTATAATTAATGAATAATATTTAAAAGTAGAACTTTTAATAGTAAATTTATGATTAATAATTAAATAAAAAATAAGTTTTATAAGAAAATGAATCTTCTAATAATAACTTGAAATAAATTAAAAATAATTATAAGATTAATAGGAGCATAAAATTAATTCCTTTTAAAAAAATTGATAATATATAACTATAAATTTGCCCATAATAACTTATTTAAGATGCTTTAAGTAAAGAATAAAAATATATTTAGGATAAGTTCAATTTGGAAGAAGAAAAAAATGCTATTTTTGATACAAATCAAATTGTAGTTTTTAATTAAGAGGTTTCTTAATTAAAAGCAAAAATGAAATAACTTAAGAAAAATATTAATAATATTTAAACCACATGATTTTATTATTTTAATTTTGTATTTTGTATTTTTTTTTTTTTTACTATAAATAATTATCAAAATATTCTTAAAATATAAAATTAATAATTTAAATTAACTTATTATATAAACTTTCATATAATAATTTAGTTTAATAAAATTAAAAAAAATATAATTAAATATTTTTTATACTAATTAATTTAAAGATAAATTATTATATTAATATTATAAATTTTTATATATATAAAATTCTTTAATTTAGAATAAAAAAATTCTAAATATTACATAAATTATATTTTATTAAAATAAAAAAACGGAATAAATTTAATATCTTTAACCAAATGATGAAATAAATAATAAATATATAGTTATTAATCTTATAAAATAAACATAATATTCGCGAATATACTTATTAAAATCTTTAGAAATAGATAGTAACGGATAACCAAAATTTTATGCTTAAAGGAAGTAAAAAAATTCACATTATAATAGTTAATGAAAACCATGTTTGATAGAGAAATTTAACTTTTACAAACTTTAAATCATGAAAACATAGTATTATTATTAGAAAAACTAGAAGATTAAGATACTCATTACTTGATTTTCAAATATTGTAACTAGGGTACACTAATAGACTATATGTAAAAATTTAAGAATTAGTTAACAGAATATTAAGCGAAATATTTAATGAAATAAATTTTAAATGCTTTAAAATATTTACATGAATTTAAAATCATACATAGAGACATAAAACCTGAAAATATATTTGTACATAATAATTAAGTTAAAATAGGAGATTTTGGATTTAGTAAAATCATGAATACCTAAATTACTAATAGTATATGTGGAACCCCTATTTTTCAAGCCCCTGAAGTTACAGAATTGAGAAATTATGGGGTCGAGGCTGATATGTTTAGTTTGGGAGTCACTTTTTTTTATTTAACTTAGGTAGAATATCCTTTTTAGTTTTAGTCAACTCATGAATTGTTAAGTAAAATTAAATATAAATAGTTTTAGTTTAAAAGAGAAATTAGCTTTATATTGAAATAAATTATTAGTTCTATGCTTGATTATAATCCAGAAAAAAGAATAAAATGGGAAGATCTTTTTAATCATGTGTATTTTACTAAAGAATATGAAAACGAAAACAAGTAAATTTATAGTATGATTTAATAAATTAGTAGATAATAACTTAGTTCTGATATATAAAACCCTAGTTCTTATAATTCTATAGTTTAATAATAATAATAATAAAACAGTAGAATAATTTAATAATTTAAAAATGATTCTTAAGTTATTTTTTCGAAGAACTAATTGCTTTCATAAAATAAGGAAAATTTTATTGAATATAACTAAAATAAATTTTTTCCATTTGAAGAAAATATAATTAAGTCTTAGATATATTATAAAGTTAAATTATTTCCGAAAATTATATAAGTGAAATCTTAATAAAATAAAAAAATTACAGAAATTTTATAAAGCAGCTGTCAATATATAATACATAAATGAATTAGTTTAGAAAAATGAACTAATTTTTTATTCTTATACTGGAGCTTGTTTGCTTATTTTGGCAAAGAAAGCAATAATTTTAAATGAAGAGTTATATGATATGATTGAAAGTGATAAAGAGCAAGCATAAAAAATGAGAAAATATTAAAAAATAGAATATACAAATTTAAAGTGATTATTAGAAGAGTAGAATTATTTATTAAATTTGATGTTAGAATAAGCATAATAATGTTATTATCATAATAAAAATAATTATTATTAAATATTTAATAATTATATGGAATAATTCGTTTTTAGTAATGATAATGAAATATTTATTGATAATTATAATACTATTTAAGATTAGTTTATATAGATTTTATTTTAAATCTGATTTCTTGTTAAAATTTTTAAATAAAAGATAATGATTAAAAAGAATTTTTTTTGAACTTTAAAGGGAAACTTTTAAATATTTAATTTAGTCTATTTAAATAGATGATATTAACTAAAATAATAATTCTGAGTATATAAAATTAAATTACGAATATAAAGATGAAAAAATATAAAATATTTTATATTAATTTATTGATTAGATTGAAGAAAATATTATTATAAAGGATAAAGATAATTAAAATATATCTATTAAATATAAATTTTTTGAAAGGTATTAATAAAGCTATTTAGCAAATACATCGACTGTTGTTTGTAATAAAAAAAATATATATATATATATATATATATATATATATATATATATATATATATATATATATTAAACAAAGGTGTTATAAATGAAAAGTAAGCTTTTTTTTTAAGAGATGTTTTTTTATTATAAGATCAATTAGGACTAAAAAATAACAGATTTATTAGTTATTTAGAATTTAAAGTATATGATTTTTAAAATAATAACTATTTGATTGGAACATGAAAATATATAAATAGCATAGGTAAATAGATTAAAAAAATTAAAGAAGAATAAAATAATATCAATAATTTATTTAATATTTAGTTTGAAGTATAATAATAAGAAAATGAATAATAATATTAATAAGAAAATGAATATGAAAATGAATATGAAAATGAATAAGAAAATTAATAATAAAATGAATAAGAAAATGAACAAGAAAATGAATAAGAAAACATGGAAGAAATAATTAATTTTATATAAGAAAATAAATAATTGTAATTAATTTTTTTATTTTTAGTTAAAAAAACTATTTATCTTATTTAATTAAAAAGACTGCTTTTACCTTCTTCAACAAACTTTTTTATTTCTTTAAATAATGAAATTTAAACAATTTAAGATATTAACGATTAATAAATTAAGCATGACTAAAAAATATAAATTTAAGGAAGATGGAAATAATATTTTTAAAATATTCTTAAAGAAATATAATGTTTTAATAACATTTATGTTTATTAAATTTATTTTTTTATTATATTTATAAAGTTAATGATGAATAAGACATAGATAATTAAAAAGAAATAATTAAAGACTTTTTCAAAGATTTTAATAAATAATTTTAAT